CTGCCACATGGAAACTGCAGGACACAAACCCACACAGCTCTGCCATGCAAAACCTGCACAGCCCCAAAGCCAGAGCTGAGGTAACAGCGAGGGACAAGGAAATGAATGTGGGGATATGAGGGTATTGCCACTCGACACTGCTGGGGAACAACACTCTCATAACATCTGCTTACAAACACAAACACTGTCTTCTCAGAACAAGAGGAAGCCAATTTAGATAAATAATGAATACTTTGACAGAAGTGAAATCCTTTAAATGAAGTAACATGTTATTTATGGTTTTGTGTACTTGCTGCTGATGCTCAGAAAAGATCAGCCACTGAAAGGATGGAGATGTCCCACCGAGCTCATGGGACCAGAGTTCACTGCTCTTGAGATGCTTTAGCGCAGTAGTTTCATGGATGGGAGAAGAAGATTTTACCTTAATTTAATTCAGTAAGATAAATTTTATGCCTACTTTACCAGAAAAGCAACTGAAAGCTGAAAGACAGAAGTCAAATATGTCCTTTCAAGCTGTGGAAAAAAGTGGGCATAAAAAATGGCTGCAATCTTAAAGGACATGAGGACCATACTGTCTTTGTTATGTTATTGACTTGTTGGAAATGCAAAGCATGTTTAGATAAACATTATTTTCCATATGTCCTATCAGCACATTCACTTAACCATTAAAAACATTTCTGAAAATCTATTTTTAGGACTTTTTAATTGGAATTTGGTTCCCAGACTGACCCACCATGTGTTTAAAAATTACTCATGTGGTAAATAGGAAAGCTGCCATGTACCTTATACTAACAGAAAAAGTTTAAAAAAATAAGGCTGAAATATATTGTGAAACACAGTATTGGCTAAATAAAAATGTACTGATAGCTGACTTCAACTTTCATTGGTAAAATGAAATACAGGATTTAGTGAAAAGGCTTATAAAGAAAATCATTGTATTTTGTTTCAAACTCAAATGAGAATCAGCCTTAAGAACATCTACTGAGAAAAGGAAATGCAAACAGCTATTAAAATCGATTATTTGAGTAAGTGTTTCTTGCTTACGTAGCTGGTGCTGCTTCACATCAATCTCCACTACCTTGGGAAAACTTAAAATTTAGAAACAAGAACCAGTGAAGACCCACCAAAGGAAAGATTGTCATAATAACTCATTTTCTGACTGATGAGCAAAATTCATTTCAAATTACTTCCTCTCGCTGCCTTTGGAAATGCAACATAACGTCTGTGCTCTGCCTGACAGGCACAGGCTGCCAGGGCTGCAAGGGGACTCCGAGGACTCTGGGCATCTTTGGCACGCACAGGGCAGCTCTCCTGTCTGCCCATGGATGCAGGAATGCAGCACAGACCTGGGCAGCCTCCCTGCTCCTCCCAGTGCCCTGTCTGCCCCTGTCCCCATGGCACCCGGGCAGCAGAACGGACCCAAGGGGGCTGAGCAGTGTGAGCAGCACGGGACAATCCCAGCCAGGGTCACAGCCACCAGTTTGTCACACTGCCTCTCCCTCAGGGTTTTCTGCTTGTGTTTGTCAAGGGTTTCCTCTCAGCCCTTGCCATTCCTTCTGTCTCAGCTTTGCTCCCCCAATCCTGCAGTACCCCAGTTCACTTCCACCATATCTTTCCCAGGAGTGTGCACAGCAGCTGGTCACTGCAGAGATGGAGGAGCTCAGGGCAGCAGTGAGGGAGGAGCTCAGGGCAGCAGTGATGGAGGATTTCAGGGCAGCAGTGATGGGGGAGCTCAGGGCAGCAGTGATGGGGGAGCTTAGGACAGCAGTGATGGAGGGTCTCAGGACAGCAGTGATAGAAGAACTCAGGGCAGCAGTGAGGGAGGGTCTCAGGGCAGCAGTGAGGGAGGATTTCAGGGCAGCAGCTGGCAGGCAGCAACTCCACTAGCACAAGGCCCTCTCCTGTTCGCATGATGCTCAGAGCTGGAGCAAATGCTGGTTTTGGGCAGCTGCCAATCTCACAGCCAAGAAGAGCTCAGGGCAGCAGTGAGGGAGGATTTCAGGGCAGCAGCTGGCAGGCAGCAACTCCACTAGCACAAGGCCCTCTCCTGTTCGCATGATGCTCAGAGCTGGAGCAAATGCTGGTTTTGGGCAGCTGCCAATCTCACAGCCAACGAGCAGGATCCTAAACAGAACTGGGATATGTGTTCTCTCTCACCCTGGCCCACAGCATCCCAGGGGGAACTCCCTCTTCAAGTGCCCTGCACTAGGGATTTTGTGGCTGCTGCCATTTTGGTGGCTGCTATTTCATGCCAGCAATGAAAAACTCACTTGGCATTGTGCAACTTTGATGAAAGCTTGCAATTTGTGCTGAAAGCACAGCTACAGAAACACAGAACCTGCACATGAATACAGAGGTGCTGCCCTGGTAGGCATGGCCCATGGTACCCCTCACTGTGTGTCAGGGCAGGGTGCCAGCCTGCACATCCATCCTCACCTGCCAGAGAGCCACACCAAGCCCAGCCCGGGTGGCAGCACTGCCACCGCTGTCTGTGCCAGGCCAGGTCAGTGGCTGCAACCACCAATCAGAAGTTTTAGGACTTGGTGTCAGAGGCTGCAGTCCGTCAGGGTGACTTTGCCTTGAAAGCTTGGATGGCAGTAAAAATGAAAAATGGTTCTGCCATTTTCTCCTCATCTGCCCTCAAACTATTTATGCCCAGCAGGTCTCAGAGGGGCTGCTCCCACACATGGCTCCTGTTCCTATCCCTGGGCTGCCTGAAGCTGTGGCTTCCTCTAAGATTGGGGCAGCTGAAGGCTGGGGAAGGAACACCCTTTGGGCACAGTGGAGAGGCAGCAGGGATTAAACCTGTAGCTCACTCAGGGAGGCTCCCCCCCACTTAAAGAGAGCCAGGAGCTCTGGCAAACAGCATCAGCCCTTCTCTGGAGTGCCCAGTAATGCTGCCTCTGCACAAGGACCTGAGCAGCAGCAGGATACAGGGGATACACTGAACTGGAAGTGTCTGGGAAGCTGAAACTAGGAGGGGTTTAGTAGAAATCTGCAGTTTTTCTGGGATTTGCAAGTAAATAAAATCTATTTTTTTTTCCTGAAGTCCAAAGCTAGCTAATTTATTTCTAAGTGTTCATTTCAATAGGCTTTCTCAGTCTTCTTGACCAAAACACTCGCCAGTGCCCCATATGAAATTCCAACTCATAAAGATAGTTTTAAAGACTGCTGTTACCAGCTGACAGGAAAGTTGAATTCTAGTTTGACCTTCTTCTGATGTCATAAGTATAGAGCAACATGAAAAATGACTAGAACCAAGGCACCAGTTGTGGCTTGAGTCAAACACTTCACATTCATTTGACACAAGTGTAAATCCACAATTAAAATGGTGGTAAAGTAAAGAAGACAGGGAAAATGAGCCAGTTGTTGTCCTCATAACAACATCAGCTCTCAAGAAGGCTGTGCTGAGGTTTTCTGACTCAGTTCATGCCACAACAACACACTGGGCTAACTGCAATGCCAGGGAGGGTTCCAGTGAGAGAGGAATGGTTGGGACCCTCCTAAAAAACTCATCATCCTGAAGGAATGGACTGGGGGAAGCTGAGGGAAAATGAGGATCTGTGACTTGTCATGTTCCTCACATCCTGTTTGATAAGTGATGCCCAAGAGAAGGAAAATTCAGAAAGGGGTGACCAGAATCAAATCCAGTGGTTCAGAAGCTACATGAAGATGGGGGAAAAATCTGCTGCATGTTGGTATCTCAGGTCCTTCCCTTTGGCTGATACCATGCCTGCAGTTGCCCTGCCAGCCTGTTTTACCCACCAGCCTCAGCTACAGGCAGGATCATGCCCATTGAGCTGGAAATCTCCGTCATGCAGAGGATTTATGAAAAGTATTTTGCTTTTGTCCCCCTGAAATTACATCATTCTCCTCTTTTATCTATCTTAAGTGTCAGGAGAGTGTGATGTTAATGAGATGTACAAAGGCTTTTGGGTAGCTGAACAGTTTTATAGTCCCACATTGATAAATTAAAGCATTTGTCACTGTTACCACGTTAATGTTTCTTCCTGAGATCAAAGTCTGGATTTGCTGCATTAAGTGGGACCGGCCTCTGCTCCGCATCACCACACGTTACCTTCTGAGGAGATGAATTGTGGTTCTGCATTTCTACATCCACAGTTTAATCACACCCTGATTCTCACACCTGCTGATTCCCATCTCCACATGAGGCACCCAAGCCTTTTTTTTATTACGGATTTTCTCCTTGCTACCTGTGTGGAAAGCCTGACTATCTTGTTTCAGGACAATCACTTTCTTCTAGCTCTGAAAGGCTGCTTCTGCAGTAAAGAATACAGACAATTTCCTTCCTTCTGGAACCCTGGATTCAGTCATATTAATTTACATTTATATAGCACCTTTCATCCCTGAAGATCCCAATGCACTTTACAAACTCCCCCTGTCTGTACACAGAAGCTGTTCAAATAGACAGGCTACATAAACAGACACAGGATCCCAGTGCCAGCTTCTGAAACACATCCCTCTGCCTGCATTCCCAGCACACTCGTGGCCATCCAGCTCTGCACACATCCCATCAAGGAGGAAAACACGGCAGTGTGATTTAGAGGCACGTCAGGAAGCACAAGGGATCTGGGCAAACAGTAGAATGGCTTCATGGCCTGGCTGAGGGACATCCCTGCTGCATGGGTTAAAATAAGGCAAAAGCTGATTTGGGGTGAGTTACATCTCACTGTTCTAGTGCTGTTGGCAGTGCCTGTAGAAATCCAGATTTGCTGCTCCCTCGCACTGATGGGTAACCCTCAAATAGTTTATTTTTTAAAACTGGAAAGCATCTGCTTGCTTTGCAATGAAAACAAGGGGAAACAACCCCCCCTCCCAACAGCAGTGGCTGAGTGGCTGCAGCCAACGTGAGCATGGAGGAGAAGGGAGCACCCAGCATACCTGAGACACCTTTTTGACCACGTCGCTGCCCCCTCCCAACAGCAATGGCTGAGTGGCTAAAGCCAACGTGAGCATGGAGAAGGGAGCACCCAGCATACCTGAGACACCTTTTTGACCACGTCGCTGCCCACCAGGAAGCCCTGCGCGTAGGAGCGCGCCGCAATAAAGGCTCGCGTTGCCTTCACCTTCAGGTCCCTGGGCACCTCCCCGAAGGGCTTGTGCTGCTCGGCGTGTTTGACCATGCAGTCCAGGTACTCGTCCGTGATGTGGTACTGGGGGTTCAGCAGCTTGAAGAGCCTCTCCAGCAGCCGTGTCCAGAACTCATTGAGGGCCTCCTCCAGGTTGATGTTGGAGCTGCGGTAGTAGCGGCGCAGCTCGCTGTACAAGTCCTTGAACACCTTCACGTTTTGAGTGTACAATTCTCCATACAGGCTTGGAAAGGCATCATAAAGGGCCTTCTCTGACTTGTTCAACAAATCCTGGAAATAACCTGAAATATGAGAAAAGGAGAGGTGATGTATCAGCCAGACAAACTGGAATCCAACAGGCTGTGTTATTGGGCAGCACAACTGAATACTCAGAGAAAAGAGAAGGGCTCTAACAGAGCTTTTCCTCCAGCCAGCATTACCCACAGTCTCAGGTCTCAGCCTTAGCCATGAAGACAGAAGGAGGACACACCCCCCACACTCTCAGGTCTGAGCCTTAGCCATGAATATAGAAGAAGGAACCTCCCCTGCCCTTTCATGCTGGAGAACCCTGGTCTGGGTCTCTCCAGCTCTTCTGGCAGCCTCACCTGGAAGCAAAGCTGGGTCTCTTTTCTGAATCTGCAAGGTGTCACAGTGTCACTCATACGTTTTCTTCACAGCTGGCATTGCTTACACAAACCCTAAGCTGCCACATGTTATTTCCAAAGCAGTGGTGAGATGAAGCAGGGCTGCCAGCACGGTGCCAACCCTGCCCAGGGACATCCCTGGTGGTGCAGCCAGGCTGGCTCTGGGCACAGCCAGAGTCCAGGTGCAGTGTCAGGAACAGGCACATCCTCCTGGGCACTCCAAGGCAGGGCTGTACCCAAGTGCTTTTTAACTGAGGCCAATGTTATCTGGGCGTCTCATCCCATTTGCTTACTTGGGTGTGCATCCTGCTTTTGTTCCAGCATAAATAACAGAGTGCTTTTACATCCCTGGTTCAGTGGTCTCAGATGTGGCAGAAATGTGACTCTTGCTACACACAGCAGGGTGAGAATGAGAGATTTGACTCTTCCCTTGCCAACATCTTTAGGTATTTCCATCATCTCAACTGCCAGCTACCTTCAGGCTGAGACTGCACAGTAGGGAACTCATAGCAGGATTGGCCTGATCCAATTAATAGATGTACCTAAGCAACTATAATCATCATTGAAGTCAGTCAGAGGAAAAATAATTTAAATAATAATTTTCATTTCAATTACACTTGTACTTTTAGGGTCTTTTTGAAGCAAACCTGATTAAACTATTCTTTAAATCTAAATTACTATTTTTTTTGGTGATGCATTTGTAAGCCCTAGTTGTAAAGAAACTGTTGTTCAATTAAAATCAAACAGCATGTATTTAGGTACATAAATTAACTTCATGGTACTAGACTTAGAAGAAAGAGAAGCTCCTGAAAAATGCATACTGCATGTACAAAGCTTTATTAAACAAAGTATTTTTTGAGGGAATGACGCTGACTGCAATTAAAGACCTCTAAAACTGTAGAACTAAAGCTGAGATCCATAAATCCTGCTTATATTCACTGACTGAGAACAGCCATAGGAGCTTTCCTATATTAATAACCTTTCACTGATTTCTCAGATTTGAATGAAGCTAAAACTTAACAGGTGAATTGACCAAGTGAAAAGAACCCTCTGCATCTGAGCCACAGGTTGCTAACACTAAAATTCCTGTGCTATTTTAACAAAGCAACACTGAGCATTAATAGCCTGGCCTTCTCCAGCTCCTATCATGTACTGCTTAATAGGTTAAAATTTGATCTAAGAGATTTTTGATTTTAAAAGATTGTGAGGAAACTAGGTCTTAGCAGAAGTCTGGTTTAATTACTAATGCAGAAGTAGAAAGTAAAAATCTGTTATCTGGAATGTTGAATAAAAGGTAGTTTTCAATTGGGAAGAAATATATTCTTATTCAACATGACTGGGTGGGCAGTTTGTATCTACAGCTATTTTTATTGGGATCCCTCCATCTCTCAAATGACTGATCATGCACCTTCCCCACTAAAACTGCATTTCCCCCTATAGACACCAGGTGCCAAGGCAACACAGTCACCTATGACCCTGCAATGGGGGCTTCTCCATAGGGAAAAAAGACAAAAAGTGATCCCACCAGATTAATAAAAAGAGATGCTGCACTCACCTGTAACAGAAACAAAACACAAAGTTTCTCTGACGCTGATGAGGCATCTCAAAGCTCTTCCCTACCTTAATGTATCACTGCAAACACTGCTGGTTGCCCATTCACAAGTTAATTAAACTGAGCTCAAACTCCCTTCCTTGTACAATCAGTGTTCTTTTCTGTGTGACAAGAGACACGAACTGAACAATTTGCTCAGCAATCGAGGTAGACGTGCAGCTTTGCACTCACCATCAGGAGGAAGAAAACACTGACAAACACAGCCCAATTTGTCAATTTTAGGCAAAATTACTTTCTTTGTTTTGCTACAAGAGAAACAAGATATATATCTCCCTGTCAAAAAATTGGAGACTGCTCTCAAAAAAGTCAGAGCTAATTAAGGGCTGATGAACTGTTACTTCTCACCCAAGTGAGGGAACACTGATTAAAGCCAATTCATCTGTGGCTGGTTCTCACAAAGTTCTTCTAGATTTCACACACTGAGGGGAAAAAAATCTACACTAGCAAGGGAAAATTAATTAGCAATTAAGTCTACACGTGTTTGTGATGAATGGCTGACCTGGCAGGGAATTTAAATGCCCATTTTGCAGCATTAGAAGGTACCACAAAGTGGGGTTTGTCAAGAGAGATGCCAATGTCCCTGCTTCTCAGTAGCATGTCAGCTGAGATCTCCCAGTAACACTGCATCTTCCCCTGAACACACCCTGCCTGCCAAAGTCCAACCTTTTAATGAGTCTAGACGTGTCACAGATTAAGGATGTGCAGGGTCTTAGGATAAGACAACCTGCTGAGGCTAGGTGAGGATAAGAACCTGCTGTTCTACCTTGATTCCAGGTAGAAGGACTCATTTATCTGAGGGGGAGCAGCCCATTATCTGTAGCCATGGAGGCTGGGGACCCTCAGGTCACGGGGTGCTCCACGTCTCCACTGCTGCTACCAGGAGTTACCAATAACAGGGCCAGCAGGTCCCTTTGGATGTATCAGCTCCCACTTGGTGACTGCTGGGTCTGCCCTGGCTCCCAGAGCACCACTGCAGTGTTCAGCTCAGGCAGGGCATGAGCACATGGAGCAGCTTCATCCAGGTCACAGCTGGACACAGCCCTGAGCCCCTGAGCTCTGCTGCCACCTCGTCCTCTGGGCCAGCAGCAGGCTCAAGCCATGAACTGCACTCAGGCACTGCAGCACAGGGCTCTGTCACCTTGTGAATGGCAGGGATGGAGGGAAAGGGCTCAGCTGCACTCAGGGACTGCAGCACAGGGCTTTGTGAATGGCAGGGATGCAGGGAAAGGGCTCACAAGGAGCTGAAGCTATAAAGCCCTTCTGGCCCCAGGAGGCACACTGCCCTCCCATCCCTGGGGGCAGCAGCACGGCTGAGGTGGTTCTGCAGAGGGTCCTTCCCTCTGAAAGGATGCATTTGCTTCCACTCTGAGTCACAAGAAAGCAGCTACAGATGCTGTGGACCTGTGCTGAAAAACTCACAGCTGTTCTTGGCTTCTTGGAGTCCCAGGAATTTGACAGTACCTGCCAGAGAGACCTCCCTGCAAGGCACCTGCTAAATCCATGACTGGCTTTCCCCTCTTTCAGAAAGTTTCCTTCAGGAGCCACTGACAGGTGAGTCCTCCCTCAGCACTGCCAGCTGAGGGACACAACACTGCCAAGCCCAGCAGGTGGCTTTCAACACCAGTACTTCAGACAAATCAAACTCAATTTTCCCTGGGCCAATGCAAGGCACGGCTCCTCAACCAAGGCTGCTCCCACATGAAACATCACCTTTCACCCTCTTTTGCTGCAAAGTATTCAAAAGAAAAATAAAATGAAATGGAAGCCTGTTTTATTACTATTATTGTTGCTTCTCACTTCCAGGCTCAGAAACAAGACAACTGGCTTTGCTCAAAGGAAATTTGCCTCTTGGCAGAAGCCAGGTCTGAGGAACTCTGCCTCAAATGCAAAGATGTCACAAAGTTATGAATAGAGAAATGAAAGGTTTCTACAACCAAAACAATTCTGCCACCTTGGCTTTCTCTTGCATAGTGACAAAAACTTACTTCTCGGAGAATTAAGTTTTCAACCAGAATCTATAACCTTTGCATTCAAGAGAGATTGCAAATCCCCACCCATTTCCCTGCTTCGCAGCTTCCCAGTGTTCGCAGCTCATATTTTCACAGTTTCCACATTTTCACAACTCTGGATTCAAACTGGGAAGCTGTGAACAGCACGGCAGGGACCGGCACTTTCTCTCTGAAGAAAGTTTTGAGTTTCTCCTTCCTGAGCGCCCCCAGCACAGAATACTTTATCCAAGCTCTCTGCTACCATTTGATCATTCAACATCTGGAACACACTGGGGTTTCTTCAACTAATCCAATGATGGAAAGGGAATGGATCACTGCAGGAGGGATAGAGATCACCGAAGGAAGAACACCCAAATGTTCTTTAGGCAGGCGGCAGAGCTGGCTTCCTTCAAGCCCCCTCAAATTTGAGAGGCATGCTAGAGGAAATATGAGAAATGGAGAAAGGTGACTGAATTACTTTCAATCTCAATATTATTAAAATTTTAAGTAGAAAACTGCAGCACAAAATGTCTTATACGCAACAGGGAAGAGTTGAGACTGGAGGAACACCAATGGTGTTCTTGTTAAGAAGAAGTTTTGCAGCAATGGGTGAAATGAAAACCCTCCTGCTGCTCAGACAGCTTTGCTTGGTGAGCTGTTTGTGGTCTGAGGGCCTTGCCATGAACCACCAGGACAGATGGAGGTGGGGCAACACCATGAGGAGAAGGAAGTACCAGATCCTCAGTTTGGAGGATCAATTTCTCTGTTTTGAGCAAGCACATGAGCCTGTGGTGGAATTCATGCAGGGCCAGAGCCACAGAGCTCTGGAGGAAGGCTCTGTGAACAAAGTGTGGTGTGTCAGGGCTGGACTGAGAACAGGAGAGGAAATGTAGCTGCTTCCGTGCTGTCCTGACCCCAGCCAAAGCAGGGAAACAAAGAAGGAGGTGTCTGCTACAGCAGAGCCCCTGCTAGGTGCCAGCCCTGTTGGTCTGAGGAAGAGTCTTTTCCTGGGCTGAGCTCCCATTTAATACCCTGCTGCACTTCCCAACACCAATTTA